GATTTGTGGGTGGGGGGATTGTAATAGTTTTAATAATTTCATTCATGAGTTTATCTAAACAAGACTAACATTGATGAATTGGAATCACTGAACGGCCGTTTCGTTCAATCGATGAGGGGTTGCGCAGGATCATGAGTTAGTTGAAGTTAGACATTAACACCACTGCATCCCGGCCCAGTGGTTTTGAAGTTGAGCGGTCGCGCGTGAGACCGAAGGTCTATATATATGTAATTAGTTGTATTTAAAAAGTAGAAATTTCTGATAACTTATCCGTTGGTGTCATGTTATTCATCGAATTCAGTTCATGCCTAGTTAATATTCATAAACTCAGGTTTTCATTCCTAGTATGAATGTTCAGAAAATGATACTGCACTTAAGCTTCATCATTTCCACTAGTGTTCTCCAATTTTTGTATCAATTCGAACTAGCATAACAAAACAGATGATGATTTGTCAGGAAAATTCGCAAAGCTATAATAAGTGTTAAAATTTCATAACTTGATGGATTCGGAAAACCAACTGATACGACTGATGCTAACAAAACAAAATAGAACCAGGTTAGTTTTTAAGGTTTCTTTATTTTAAGAATAGATAGACCTATATATATACCATTAAGAGTTAACACAGTGTGGTGTTTGTGTAAAAAGTAACTGTTTTGCTCATGTGTAACTTCCCAATCCAAGTTCTAATGCAAAACATCTAAGCAAGTACATTGTGAACCGTCAGAGAATGCACTAGATAACTCTGGGAATTCCTAGTTCTGATAGTGAGTTTCGTACAAGCGATACTTAGATACATTTTGAGCACCCAGAAAAATGGTAATACTAAATTTATGTTGAGAAATTTTTCAAAATCTCGATACAAGAAAACTCCAATTAATTTTTTCTGCGCGTCGGATGGGGATTTCGAGACTGGGAAAAAATACCTTGACTACCCACCTCTTTATTCATTTATTGATTTTAATGCTTTAGTGAAGAAAGTTACACCGACAAGTGTTCTAAGAATCTTCACTTTCATACCGACGAACACCGACTGTGATCAAGTTAAAATTTAGTTCAAACTGTTAACAGTCCTGTTCAAGCCCATTTCGTGTAAATAGGTCATAAAGCCAATATGAATCAGTCATTTACACTGATTATTCGGCTTAAATCTGTCAGACCCAAAGTCCTTCAAACGGCAGAAGAAATATCTGTTTGGATTAAAAGGTGTGAGTTTTATATTCAGAAGAAAGATGGTCAACCTCTTCTTTTTATCTTGGGGAACTTCAGGCCTAATAAGTTATTAGTAAGTTAAATTATAGATCACATAATTTTTCAATTACATATACAACATATCCACTTGTGTTTTCATAGTATTTACATATCTTTGTATCATTGTTTTTATTACCATTATTATTAATGGGATAATGGTAAACATTTCATGAATTTAATTAACACCCGTTTTAGTTGACTATTTTTTTTACTTTAATTTATATCATTATATACATTATGTAATCTTCCTTCAAACGTTTATTTAGATTTGTAATTAAATTATTATTTCTCTAACCTAATGTTATTTATGTCTTGGCCCTTATATCCCATATACACCAAGAAATGCACATAAAGACAACTAGTGTAGCAGAAGCCTCTGTCTGCATCAGTAGGCCTCAAAATTACACAATAAAAAAACCAAGATCCTGACATACAATACAGAGAATACCAACGCGATGACAATTGATGATGGAAACTTTCACGTTCCTGAACAGCATCATAAAAGAAGATCTAATGTAAAAGTAAAGGCGAACATTGGCAAAGCAAGGACAGCATTCCTATAGTTAAACAACATGTAGAACTCAAAACAACTTTCAAGCAATATCAAAGTGAGCATCTTCAATACGAACTTCAATGCATTAGATGGTGGTTGGAGGTAGTCGACAGGAAGCCCTGAACCCGGGTTTCGTGCAACTTGGCACTCGTCAGCATACTGGTCTAGAGAATTTATGGATAAATGTGAATGATAGCTAATTACTGTTAAAAACAAGTTCCTGTATACACTTTTTTATGAATATTCAAAAGTTACACACATGTAATTTGAATCTTTTACAGTAATTGGTATTTTGTGTTGAGAATTATTTACTGTAATTAAATTTACTTCCCTGAATGAAGCGATCATTATTACCGTTATTGCTATTATAGTGAACAGAACATGAACGGGGACAACCCAATGCATTTGAGCAAAAAAATTTCAGAGCATCTCAATAAAATCTGAGGACCATTTAGTAAATCATTAATTTGCAAAATATCAATCAATTGTCTTAAACTTGACTGCTCCTGTTGCAAACGCCAATCCATTGTCTCAGATTTCATTGTTCATGTGTTTTCATACCAATTGCGTTCCGTTCCCGTTCTTTCCTAATCGACCTTCTACTGATATACATTATACGCCTGACCACCGTCATATACTACTTGTGTGGACATAAATAACCCACAGCACACTATTACTATGAATATTCATTAACATTAGTTTGATTAGGTATGAAGTTTTGATCATTGAAGTCCTATGAACTTCTAAGACATTGAATAATGATAATCATTGGCTTCGTTTAGTTAAATAAGCATAGGATATAATAAACAGTTTGCATTACAATCATTAAATTTTACGAATGTCTGTACCATTCACGTTGAATTATCATCCATATATACTTAAGAGATAAAATTTATAAAAATGGAAGTATATTCCTAAACCAACTTGGAGTATTCAACATATAATGTAATTTTATATTTATGTTATTGTATTTATTCATTAAATAAGCATATTGATAAGTTTTCGATGGAGATTTGTTCTCTGAGCTGGATAGGTTGGTTGGGGAGCTTTTCATCGTTCTTCTAAATAACATTATCAGCATAAAACCTCCAATATCCTCATTGTGAACTACGAATATTCCCCAACTTCTTAAAAAAACTTGTTTCTTCTTTTTGAAGTCATATAAAAGTTGATTGATGTTACTTTAAATTTATTATCAATAACAGTACTATCTTTGTACGTTTGTCATACTTATTAAATTTTTGTACATTTACAAATATCGTAAAGTGGTTTTAAAACTCATATTTTTGTTAATAGCATTGGGAATTTACGGAAGGTGATCATCATTATACGTTCTCTCCTAAGTGTAGCACTCATTGAACACATGATTTGTGATGGTTTTCTAGCCTACGAAGACACTGATTGCTAGATTAAACAGTGTTGATCCATTCAGACTATCTGATTAGGGTTGACTCGATTGCTGTAACCATCGTTCAGAGACTTGGGGTGAGATTATTAAGAATCAGTCCCGATAGCTGAAGTATGTCTACTCTTTGTCTTCTTGTAGATCGCAAGTTTTAAAATTAGCTTGTACATTTAATTCGATGAATGGATGACATTCAAATCCTATTATCTGTGCCTGAACATTTTTACTACCACTCTTACTACTTTTACTAACTTTATATTTATCGTGATAATCTCACCTCTCTATTCGTTGAGGACTTACGTTCTCTTAGCTCAATGATTTATTCTCTAAACTTTCATTGTTTTGCCATATATTTGATAAAATTCAAATACCCCATTTCTACGTGGAGTTTGTACTAATGACTTTTTGAGAAGAGTTCCATGATTTAACCAAAATCGAGCACAGTCATCTTAAATTTGTAGATATGCTTTACTAGAGAACGCCATCTGAAAAAATCTAAATCTTAGACTCCATGTTAATTATCCCCAACAAACAAACATGAATTAATGTGGACCGTCATTTTGAGTCAGTTATTGACAGTATGAATTGATTGTTGGAGTCCATCCATCACTAATATTCTCTTAAAACTATGTGTCGCTTAACTTCTCCCAAACCAAAATAAAAATTGAAACGGGTATTGTATATTCTAATAAACCCGAACAACAAAGACATTCTAATAAAAAACATTAAGCTTTTGTGATGATTAGAAGTATTTGAATTATTGTACGAACTATGAATTCTCAAAATAGCATAATTTAAACCAAGCAGAACTAGGTGAGCACAAATGAACCTATTGAATTTGGAATTCGAAATCAGGCAGTCATCAAGTATAAAGGAATCACTAGTTCATACAAACACCACAGGTTTATATGGAATCTGCATAATAAACTTCTAGCTTCTTGATTCCTCAACCAATGTTGATGAGTTAAAAATGAAACAATCAATGTCTTCTAATTTGAGCCTGATCAGACCATGTAATAGTCAGAATTGCATTTGGCTAATAAATAAATATTAGTTACTAAGAACCGACCAAATAAACCGATAATAACTTTCGCATGCTAAATTAAACATACGGTAGCAACCAGTTTTGGCTAAATAAATATTAAACTCTACCAAAAATAACACTGTTTAGTAAAGAATGTTTGTTTTCCGAAGGAAATTACAATAATACTTGTTTATGGTAATAACAGTGAAACTGTAGTCTCATATTTGTCTGGCTATGGGATAAAATACACAATCCGTATCCAAAGAAAATTCCCGTTCATTCTTTCTGAATATATATATATATATATATATATATATATATATATATATATATATATATATATATATATATGTAAAAATATATCCATGTATAGTATCCAAGTGTACAACATGTTTTTGAATGAAACAGACCCTTTTAGTTGGCCGGTATCCTCTTTCTTTTGTCAGTAACTCGATTTTTTTTAAGTATTCGTCTTCTGTCATACAATTTACATTAGTTCAAGCAATATACCACTTAATTGACACAACTCATACGATGTTTCTGTGGTATAATAAATACTATACTTGATACATTGTTTGCTAAACAAATTGTGTCAACTTTACATAAAAGAACGTTGTTAGTTAAGATCTAAAAGCTTAGATTAGGAATTTAATATTGTGCATAAAACAAAAATATGTTTGAACGATTTATAAACTTCCACAGCATTTATGTATTTTCTTTCAAATAATAAAAGAATAATACAACGTTAATGAAATGATGTATTACTTACTGTAACAGAGTAGTATGATAAATTACAGTCCATGTTGAAAAAATAAAATTCAAAATAATCAAACACTTTCCCACTGTTACTATTTATAAAATGAGGTTCTGTATAAGAGGACTTTTCATATTATCTGAGATTGTTGTGACGTTTTGGTTATGTTTAAATTAACAATAAGACGATTATTATCAACATAAAAATTAATTGATTCAGGATCAGGAATACAATCAGAAGCCTCATATTCTTTATAATATGTTCTTTGGACAAGATGTTTGGAATCAGATTTATTAGAGTTATGTTTCACTATTGAATAATCAAGGTTAGTAATTGTTATGCATACTGAACGTTGTACAACAGTGACCTTTATATTCTCTTCCTTGAAATTTTTATCTAAGGGGATCACTAAAATGAGTTTATTCCCTTCGCGTATAGTTTTATGTCGATCAAGATGTTGTGTTGGTAATTTTTCACCATTATCCAGTTCCATATCAGGCTCGTTCGGAATAGAACTTTTGCATTCCTGTAATGTTATACCATCACATTCTTTACTTTGTTTTGGTTTACTTGAATCAAAAGACATATATGGAATATCAATTAAAAGGAGACCATTTCGTAATAACATGATTTTAGAGTTTTCAGCCATCACATTCTGAGGCACAGTAAGCTTATTTTGAACTTCACGACAAATGATTTCATCTGTTTTGCTTGTTTCGGTTTTTGCATTTATTATTATTTCCCTTTTAGAAGTCAAATATGCACTAAGTGAGTCGCGCTTAATTCCTTTCGCATTCAAAAAAATTTTAAGGAAGCAATGACAACCAGGAGTATTTACAGTGAAAATAGTACATACGTGTTCCAAAATATTAGATATTTGTTCCATTTGTGATTAAGAGATTTTATAGAAGAGGGTGGGATGCATTTGATCATGATCATAGGAACTAATGTTTATAATGATTATTATATTCGTGTGCAGTTTTAGGTTTGGGGCTTTGAACATGGATGAAAATAGAAGTTATTTGTTTGGCAAATGATTTGGGGTTACTAACGTAAATAAAACTAGGATGATTATAATTGGTTATTTGTAATCTACCAATAGGCAGTTGAAACTCTTGGAATCAAAATTCATCATTTAGGCTATTATCCATCTCTAAAAGCTTTGATATCATACTCAAAGAAGCAGATTCATATAATTTAACTTGTATAAATACTCTTTACATCCCAAGAGATTTTTTAATTTTCAAAATTCCAATATATTCAGGCTTCAGAAACACTAAAATGGAATATTTAATAAAACCAAACCAAATATTTCTCAAATAACAATTATTTGCACATACTACTGAAGTAACAACACAATATTTCGTCACAGTTGTCGATTTGTTTAAATCTGTGAACGCGAATCGCTCATAAAACGCGGTACTTGTGGTTTTTGTTCCTTGTTTTATGAACAGTTCAATTACGGAGGTAAATATGAGCGTTCCGAGCCGTGCGACTAACTCAAACAATACGATTTTATCTGAGGAACGGACATGTCACAGAAGTCAAATGGCATCATCAGATACTGTTGGACGTTCAATGGCACTTTTGCCCATAAATCATAATCATGCTCTACATCATGGAATAAAATTAATGCCTCACATAAACTTGCCTCACAGAGAAGTAGGAGCAACAACACCTTTGGTTAATAGCTCCGGCACAGCTAGTACGTGCTCGATGTCCCTACCAGGTTCGATGTCATCGGCATCTGACACTGTTTGTAATATTCTTCCACATAACACTTCAGATAGCAGCTCAATAGACCTCGCTAGTCTTTTCGAATGCCCAGTTTGCATGGATTATGCTCTACCACCCATTATGCAATGTCAAAGTGGACATATCGTTTGCGCATCGTGCCGGTCAAAACTCTCATCATGCCCAACTTGTAGAGGCAACTTAGGTAAGCTTGATACATCATTTCTGTATATGACTTTCAAATGTTCCCAGTAGTAAGAGTGCTAATAATACAGTTCACGATTTTTCCACACGTTTAGGTTGTGTTACGCACAGACGATAATGTTTTTGACATGAAACTTCTCGTCTTGCACTCATCGACCACCCAAATGTTAATATCTCCCATTAGTTATTCACTTTTTTGGCTTTTATCACACCTGAAAATTTGTGGCACAGAAAGCCTATGGTATATGCTGTTTTAAGCCTTTTAATATTCTTTTAACTATACATTGTATAAATTTCCCCATGCGTAGTAACATCCAGGTCATCATTAATTTAGTCTTAAGTTGACCCATTACCGTCAGTATAGTGACTTCTCTATCACTCTGCCAAGAAAACGATGTTATTGTACTTAGCGTCATTTATTACTTCAGTAATTAACACTTGATATCAAATTTATGTAGTTACCTTACTCATTCTCGGTCTCAATGACACCTTGTAAAAGTGTTTATTTTGCCAAAATAGTGCGTTAAACTATCATAACTTGTTTTCTTATTTCCTGTCACACCAGTCAATCGCATGTCGCAGGTAATAACTAGGATCATTCTGGAGGCTCTGGTGTCTTTATCAGTGCTTCAGTGCACCTTATTTAGTTATTTTATCATGAATATTCCTCCACAGGTGATTAGAAGCTTCCAAGTGTACATGGCTCTCTACTTGTTACTATCTATTACGCATGCAGCATTATGAAGTAGGACGATGGAGTTAATTCTGTTCTACACAGGTCTATTTTATCGACGGTATTAACCCCCCCCTGTATCGATAAATCCTTTAGAGAGACCTTGTTAAAGACGTTACTTAGGAAACAGATATTCTTATTGTCGGACCTCTTTCAATCTCTGCGGAAGAACAGCGTATAATATATTATTTTCGAAAGAAAGGCTTTGGTTAAAGGTTTCCATAAGTAGTACTGTCCAACTTTTTTCGTAGGTTTGGATAGGATATTGATTCCTTACCTCAACCTTTCTGAGTTCTGTCTTGTTCGGGAATCATATGATTGGCTCCTAGTACTTGAATATATTAGCCCTGTCTCATGACAACAAATATAAAACAAAATCACATAATTTCATCAAGGAGAGGCTTGGTAATGTTCAATATTCTCTACACACCCAACGTCAATCAGGTATCATTGAAGGAAAAGTCTGTACTGATGTTTATTTTAAAAAGGATAATTAAGTGATTAAGGTTGTTTTCTTATATATATGGTTGTATTAGCTCTCTTGAATCGGTTGTTTACGTTATTACGACAAAAACACAGTGTTTGTATAAGGTGTGTCAACGTTTGATGCTGACTAGATGCGTTACCAATTTTTACAGAGTGTACCTACTTTACACTGTAATAGGCCGCCTAGTGGGTGCAAAACAAGACTAAAGTGTACATTCTTAAATGTGATTTAAAACTTGTTAGATCTAGGTAGGTTCCAGTTGACATTTCGCATTTGTTTCAACAGTGGCAGTCAATTGAACGAAAAACAATGAGATTAAGCCAAAAATGTGATTGATGGTAATCGGCAACAGTGTATCAGAAAACGAATATATAATCAATAACTCGTTTGTATACCAGGAGAAGACTAAGAGTACCGATGCGAATCATTTTGGTCTGTTACCACCCATCATGTGGTCAGACTATTTGTTACATTCATTTTGTGACTTTTCAAAGACTACCTAAAGCTGTCTATACTGCTTAAACCATTACTTAATAATTTCATGAACTGAAACCGTTTTTCTGTCTGTTCACTTTTTCTATCGAATATTATTGAACAGTCACGGCCTATTTAGTATACCAGCCACTTTATTCAGTAGAGATTCATACGCTTGTCTGCTGATCCACGTATATTCTGGACTGTGTCTAACATCGGTGCCTGTAACATCACCTTTACTTTTGTTGGCTGTTTGATGTACGTAACGTAGTGCAGAACTAACTGGTGCACAACATAATTTTCCTTTTATATTCATTCGCATTTCTTCTGTATCTTAAGGAGGACATAGGACAATGACTTGATAGTTGTATTTATTTATTTATTCATTTAAACACATAAACATTGTTACATGGAGGTATCAAACAGATATGCGTGCCACGAATGATTGGATTGGTGTGATGGATGGAATATTTCCCGGGCGCCCAAACTAAAGCATGTGGTTTTCTTAAGACGCAATCCCCCCGAGCCTTTGACCTAGAGGTCTAGTCCATAAGGCAATGGAACAACGTTAGGAGATGCAGTCCCATGGCAGCCGATGACCAACAATAGGTTCGTACGCCACTTGTTCCTTTAAAATAAAGGAACCCTTGTTCATGAGCGGTATGGAACCAGGGTTTCTCAACTCCCCTAGGTGGATTCTCCGTGTACACCAACAAGGTTAAAGCGCCGGACTTCGCTTTTCATCCTCTCAATTTCGTAAACAACATCTACTCTCCGAAAAAGCAGTCAGCAAGACTTCCCCGACTGTGGCTATACACTTGAGACTATACGAGAGCATTTCGAGAGATTGGACCCTCCCCACTCTCGACCATACCAAGGCATTTGGGGGCTAATAGTTGTAACATTTAGATCTCAGCCACTACTTTACAGGTTCAAGTCCACTTTGGCTTAATTTTATTTGGACAACCAGATAGTATTGCTAATCACAAATATTCCGAGTCAAATTCGAGTACGTTACCCTGCAGTTAGTAAGTAAGTTTGCATAATTTGCAAAATGAAAGTATGACCTTATCCCCAGCTATATTTTGTCAAACTCAATAAGACTTACGATGTGCGAAATGGTTTATCGGCATAACTTAACCACTCATAGTCAACATTAGCAATTACTAAAGCTGCTCCTAAAGTAACTATGTAATGAGAAATTCATATATGGTGTTTTTTGTCTAAAATTTTGTTATAATCTGTCTCTTGATCGATTTTCAACAATTGTGCTTTCTTTGCTAGTATACAACAGTGATATTGTTTTGTACTAATCATTTTGAGTCCCTCCTAAGGATTCGATGTCCTAATTCTTTCCTAGTTAATGTGCATATTGTCTCGATTCAACTTCCAAAGTCACTCACATAACACCTCGTCTCACTTTTCTTTCTAAGATAATATCCGGAACCTCGCAATGGAAAAACTTGCTTCCAGTGTATTATTTCCTTGCAAGTACTCCACTAGTGGTTGCCCAGAAACTTTTCATTACACATCCAAATCAGAACATGAAGCAGCTTGCGAGTATAGGTAAGTTTTTTATTTTTTGACCGCTTTTAAAGATCTATCCTTAGTTTCAAATCTCCCGTCAATAGTCTTAATTTCTATCGTATTCACTAACTCATTTTCGTTTTGCAGTCTCTTCGATATTTCATGAAAATATATAACTATGAGCCCATTATGATATCTAAACACTGAACTTTAAACATGTGTCATATGTATTACGTATGCCTAACCACCACCTACCCCAAGTCGTGCTTGGTAGTGCACAATTAGGTTGGAAGAAAGCTAGGTTCGGTCGAACTAATAGTGCTAGTCAATGAAGTCATCGATTGTTGGCCTGAGCCATGCATATAGACGCAGGCTAACTAGTTGAGTTTGGCGTGATAACTGTAATCGGTGGTTGAAGACGTTCACAGTGGCGGAGATGCATCCACTCTTCATCTTAAATTCCAGTATTCCTTCATAGTTAACCTTCCATCATCTTTCGAAACCATGTTCCCAAAGTTTATTTTTCCCTCTTACAATTGATACTGCGTTGTTCCGGTCCCTTTTTTTATTCATATCTTGTGTTAGTGTGATATAGCCATACGCTGATGATGTTTGTTTTTATCTAAAGAATTAATAGAATGATGGGGACTTTTTTTCAGTTTAATCTGAGGACAGGCAAAAGTCTTGTTTGTAATAACTCATTGTAATGCTCTGTACTGCAAGCAGATGGATTAAAAAAGCCATCAACAATAGCGAATACTAATCTGAATTTAAAATCATTTGTTTGGCCCATTTAGGAGAATTTTGGTATCATCAAGTTATATTTGTCTGAAGTAGTTATTGTATTCAGTTTTATTTGATTTTGACTCTCCATCGGTTTGTCTAGTATCCGAAAGTCATGTAAGCAACTTTAAGTATATAAACGACTTGATTCCTATAGGTAAAAAGGTTTTCATAATACTATTTTAAACTGTTGACCAGATATTTAAGGTTCAAGTCAAGTTTTGAACTCGTCGGATTCCGTAAAAGTGTTCTGTACCGTTAATAGCAGTGGTAGTTAAGGTGTTTTTGCCGTGACTTCGTAATCAAACTATCCATTAAATAGTGAAAACTCCATCCTATTCACTGAGATTGATTTGGTTACCTAGTATCATTAACCTGTATTTTAAGAGCAGTTCATAAATGGTACATATGTCTGTTGTTGCGGTTTTGTAGTATATCATCCCACTATGTATCTACTTCCATATTTTCTGCTTAGATTATTTTCGATAAAATTTCACTTGAATTCAGGAATTCTGATTACCATTTACTAACACCACTACGGAGGCAGTATTGATACATTTACCGCGAAACAAATATGCGGCATAGTAGTCTGCTCCATTCTGTCATACCGCTAAAATCTATTGTAGATTGGAGGGTATATACCAAAATTAGACTCGTTGATATCACAGGAATATTTATTGTTAATAGTGGAAGCATTAAAAGAATAATTTGTTTAATGGCAAGCTATGAGCGTTTTTGCCCATTGAAGTTGTTGGTGTATATTTTATCCACGTAGAAATGACTGATGCTGCTTAGCACAGATCATTTTCGTTTGTTTCTCTCATTTCCCAATGTGTTTTTAGAATCTACTGTACTTCTTTCTATATTGGTGAAATGTGTATCGACCTATACCATTTTACATTTCTCTGTCCATTTGTGCCTTATTAAATAGTTTCTGAGCAGTTTTTGAATTGAATTGTAAATCACTCTGTGGGTTAAACTCAATATTCATGAATTCTTGATCATACGAAACTATGCTACTTTCACAGTATTCAACTTTTCTTTATGTGATATGGTATTTTTAAGGTTCGCGATTCGTATTTTCCTCATGGTGTTGTACTAAGCTAACTTATCGTTATCTGTTCTTTTCAAGTAGAGCATTGAAGTTGTCTAGACACTACAGTGATTCAATTCCACTATCTAGTTACATTCATGAAATTTTCATTATATGGCTTTGTGTTTCTTTCACCTAATTCTCAACGTTAAGATCAATAATTCAAATCCATTTAATCTCTTTCCTCCCTGAAAACCGATTGTGATACTTTTAGTCCATTTTTCAACGTGGTAATAATTGTTCACTGATTAGTGATTAGTAAACAAGCATGTGCTGATATATATATTTAAACGTGTCTGATTGTAACATGTAAATAAAATTTGTCGCCTTTTTTGTAGTTTTTTTTTCATAATTATATCAAATATTGATTACAAGCGTTTATTTGGTAAATAATCATTTTAGGCCCTATGATTGTCCATGTCCTGGTGCTTCATGTAAGTGGCTTGGTGAATTGGAACAAGTTATGCCCCATCTCGTGCATCATCATAAAAGCATTACAACTTTACAAGGTAAGAATAATCTGGGAATTTTTCCTTTGACCAGATTATTTATTAGTATTATTTACAGATATATAGGTTTCATTTCTACTTTAGGTTTATCAGTTATCGGTATTTTTGGAATAATTGTACCCATTAATCTCGTGTATATTTAGGTGGAATATTAGGAAACGATTATCTTTCAGTCAGTCAGTCAGCTACAACGTAGGACCAGGCACATATATGCATCGGTCCAGGTTGCCATACCTCATTAGCACGGCAAGATGAACACCGGATTCATAGGAGTGGTTAGGTTAAAGGTGGTAATATATAGGAGAAAGATTGCATATAAGGATACAGTACCGGAATATAGAATTAGTTCGTAGAAAGAAAGATATGAAGCGATTTTAATCTACTAATTTAAGGGAAGACAGACAGTGCATACACCCACGCCATTGTGATCGATTCTGAGCCATATCACCAAAAGTCTCCAACCATCGGTTACGAAAGTCACGCGGACCCCAAACAAGTAGTCTGCATCTACCAACATGGCTCAGACTAGAGCTTAGTGTCTTCAAGCACTGATGCCACGTTTTGGTTTGGCCGCCCCTAATTCTCTTCCAACCATCTCCAACACCGGTTAGCATTGCACGACGTGGTAATCGGTGTTCAGGCATACGTAACACGTGGCCCAACCATCTCAGTCTATGAAGATTAACAACCTCATCAACTGATTCATCATCACTACTTAATACCCTGAGTCTAACCTCACTATTACTTACCCGGTGATCCCAGCAGACGCCAGCAATATTTCTAAGGCATCTGTGGTCAAATACTAGTAGCTTAGGGGTGTCTTCTACTCTTAAAGGCCATGTTTCGCTGCCGTAAAGTAAGACAGAACGGACTGTCGCGCAGTATACTCGTCCTTTTATTGATAGACGGATATCTAGGAATGTTAAAGGTTGCTTATAAATTTCAAGTTATTCGTCTGATAAATTGATTATATTTGCATTCATTTTATCATAAAATGTAATCAGAACCGTTAACTAACCATGTACTTCAAGGTCTTGCCTAATATATGAGCACTAACCAAAAATTAATTGTCGGTCTGTCTGTACCATCTCTGATATCTACACTTGAATGTGGTTTTTTCTTGATCTCATTATGACAGTAAGTCCTTATTGCTGATGAGTTAGAGACGAACATGATATATATATCCGATATTATTATAGTCGTGATGGTGATCAAGCTTTCCTAATTTTACACGAATCGGTCTGTATTAACCGAAACAATTTTCCCCATACTAGGATTGACCGAAAAAGCAGATGCAAGCACTATCTTACTGTTATGAAATGTTAGTAAGTTGTTTCCTTTAAATAAGTAGCATTTCCAACAATGCTACCTCCGAACTTCGAGACTTCTAAATTTTTTGCAGTCAACAAACAGTGGGTGGTTATCAGTGTCGCGATGTCGAGTTTTTAAGACTAATTGTCATATTGCGACCCGATCAATAAAGTTTAGTCAGCACTAAGCATTTAGCATACACAATACTAGTATCCACTCGGTGATAGTCTATATGAATGGGTTTCCTTATTGTCTTCCTTTCAATAATTCAATAATGAATGTCGTATTTTTAAAACCAGAAGTAAAATCGAACTTTTTTCTTGAATTATTATTGTAATGTCATTTGTTTTTGTGTCTCAGGCGAAGATATTGTATTTTTGGCTACTGACATAAGTCTTCCAGGTGCTGTAGACTGGGTTATGATGCAATCTTGTTTTGGACATAGTTTTATGCTGGTTCTAGAAAAGCAGGAACGTGTACCAGATCAGATATTTTTCGCTCTTGTCCAACTCATCGGAACTCGGAAACAGGCAGATCAATTTGTGTACAGGTAGGAACATTTTGGATTGTTGAATGTGATTTTAAAAATTCAGCCTAATTCTTCTGTTTCTAATAATTTTTATGCACAATAGGGCCATACTGTGTAAATATAATTTGGACATACTTTTAGTTTATAGCTGAAATATTAGTTTATTTAATGAGTAATAAACACACACTATCTTTAAGTACTCGTTCTCATAAAAATTAATCACTTAGAGAAACATGAGCATATAACTAAGCATATCTCTTTTCTCCGAAAGATGATATCCATTATTTCATGGACTTCACATTTAATGGATGTGTCTCCTTAACAGGATTAAAACGATAGGCAGTAACCACTGAAAGCAGTTATATATCGTATATCAGCGTAAATACATCTAGTCTTTTTCCGATTTGAACTTCATGTGTCACCGTACATAGAAATAGGTAGTTACTTGTGCGTAACGTATGTCTTAACCATGTCGGCGCAAGTTCTTAATATCATCATCTGACTTCATCTCCTTATCTACAATTTTATTGCTTGATTTCAACATTCCTCACTTAGTAATTTCATCGTACGTCCATACTTCAAAGACACGTTTGGTTGATTAGCTGCAACTTATTTAACATCATGTATCAACCAAAGGACGGGTTTACTGCGCAGCAGTTCGTTCCGTCCTACTTCATGGCAGTGAAACATAGCCGGTGAGAATAGAGGATATTCGTACGTTACTAGTATTTGATCATAGGTGTCTTCAAAACATTGCTCGTATATCCTGGGACCATCGAGTAAGTAACTCAGTTGCTAGGAAACGGGTACTAGGTAAGGATGGCAAATCAATTGATGAAGTGGTGAAACTTCATCAGTAGGTTGGAAGAAAGTTAGAGGCCGCCAGACCAAAACATAGCACAAGTCCATGAAATCACTGACAAGTGGACTGAACCATGTTGATAGGTTTAGACTATCTGGTTGTGGACCGCGAGATGACAGCAACCGATGGTTAGAGACCTTGAATGACATGGCTCAAAATCGTTTGCAATGCTCAAGTGCATCCACTCTTTGTGCTCTCCCAAATTCTACTCTTCTGAATGTCCCTTATTTTCTTTCAAACTTTATTTCACTGTATTTTACTCCTTGAATAACATCTTCAAACCCTAATCTTTCCGATTATTGCTTATACTCTTACTACCTCTACCACTACGGAATTTGATTCGACAACTCCATCGCTGTGCTAATGGGGTGCGGCAACTCGAACTGATGTACGTACGTACGAAGTTCTACGTTGTTACTGACTGACTGACCATAAAATAGAAGACAGCTCTTCAGTATGCTAGTCTTGCAAAGTGGACAATCATGCACCTCACCGGTTCCGTTGGCAATGTAGGTTGGTGAGTTTTGGTCGAATGATCTTTATGTATATAATAATTCAATAGTGGACCAGTCATCGGCTTTGATGCATCTGAAATAAGTAAAGATATCTTCTCTGTCAAATTTCATTCTTTATTCTTAAACTGACTTACTCCCAGGATAAACTTCTTAAATTCTCGACAGCATCTGTAAGGTATTAATAGTTCACATCCTTCCTAGCTTTGCCAAGAGTTAAGTGGCTGATTTCATCTAGTTTACAGTCAAATCATAGGAACTAGAGTGTAGCTACAGGCCAGTTAAACTGTTCTTCAGTGTTCCACTCATCCAATAATCTCTCCTTTATGAGAGGTTATCAGCTTTCAGTACATTTTCTCAAATCATCCTTAATAACTATGGAATACTAGCACCTATTGGCATTCTTTATGCTTTTGGTTCAATTCAGTCCATAATGCAAAAACCTGTACATGGTTTTTCAGTTGCAAAAACGGTTAAAAGGGATTTATTATCTATGATCCTTAGTTCTATCACTAACGTGTTGTTTGTCCATTTTTCGTGAACTTAACCAAATGGCTTTTGTATAGTTTTATTGAGGTGTATGAGATTAAAACCTACACAAAGTACCCGTGCCATGGACTACGCTTAAACTATGTTTAATTTTCCATTATTCACATCTACTTCACTTGTGTATTAAATAATTGGCTATTCTGTTAGACTTTGTGAATTATACTTGGAATCCTGTATCTTGAAACCAAACGATTGAAATACTTGACTTTAAGTTGCATTTTCACAACGAAGGTCCTTGGGACTATCATTATTATTTAAAAATAATTTCTATGAATGTTATAACTTTTCTTATTACTATTGCTTAGTATCCTTGGACACCAATTCACTCGATAAATCCCCAACTCAGAACACGGTTGAACAGGAACAAAAATATGTATCAAATAACAAGGGTAGATGGAAATATGAATTACAACAAGAAAAACGTTTGTATATTTATAGTTTTTACTCGAGAAAGTTCTAGAAACTTCTTTAAGTATCCACTAGTGCTGATTAGTTAGGAAATAGCCAACCAGTGTGCACCGACACAATCCTACACGGAACGTGTCCCGCTAACAACAGATGATTCAATCTTTTGTATACTTTTGTTCATTCCTGTATATATGAATGATTTCCTATATCTCATGTAATTTTACATGAAATTCATCTTATTCTTTAAGGAAATCATTCCTTTTTATTTTATTTGTACTATTTTGTAGGTATCATTACCAAGGTTTGATTTGATAATTTAGAATAAATTGAGCATTGGGTTTATTGTTATAAATAAAATATATATTATTTTTATTTATATTTGTACTATTGTTTCTGATTTCCATCTAATAGACTTGAGTTAAACGGGCATCGTCGACGATTAACTTGGGAAGCTTGTCCACGTAGTATTCATGATGGTGTTCAATCTGCAATCGCTGTGTCTGACTGTTTAGTATTCGATTCTAACACTGCTCATTCATTTGCTGAAAATGGTAATCTAGGAATTAATGTGACTATTTCTCAAGTTTCTCCGTCTATTTCATAACTTTAAACATTCATTACATTTTCTCCGTACTTTTTCTTTTCTTCCCTTTTTGTTGAGAAAATCCAGTCCACATTATTATCCGCTTTTGCTACATCGAGCATATTATCTTAGTTCTCTTTGTTTTTACACACGTCTTATTAAGGTTTGTAATTATTGAATATCAGTGGATCACTCTACGTTTGTAACGTTTTTCTTCGATAGAAAGATGGGAATGTATACATGCATGCATTTGATTTAACTTTCTTTTTCATTCTCTCATTCATGAAATCAGTATCTTCATTCTCTTTTCCTCTCAACTTATTCACATCTTCATGTTTCTTAGTTTTTTCAAGCGCCTTAAAAATTACATTATCATCTCGTATATGCACATTAATGTTTCCTTTCTAAATAATTTAGTTTACTGGTTCCTTGTGTGTCTACGTTTGTATATTATCTGTCCATTGGATCCAGTCTATGTAAATAATTGTGTTTACCATCCACCACTACTGTCACATTTCCCACTGACAGTTCATTCACATTCATACATTTAGTGATTAATAATTATTATTCAAAATATAGACCCTAAAAAACAAGACAAGTCAAGTACGTACATTTCATTTTCTTTCATATTTTGTTAATCCTATTTTCTCCTGTATTTTTTTGTGACATCCTTTCCTTTTTTTTCTCTCCAGAGCTGTTTATGTTTTTCTTTTCTATAGAAAGAAGACGTTAGTATTTCTTTATGTATAATTGCGATTTTAAGTGAAAACAAAATTCATGATCCTTTAATATTATTTGAGGTATGTCTACAAAGAGTTTGCCATTGTTGTAGTAAGAAAACGAAAAAAGTGACCACCTCTCTGTATATGTTTTTGGGGAAGTTGCTCGTTTGTTTGTTTTTTTTCATTGATTTTCTTGTTTATATCAAGTTAGTTCGTTTTTCTTATTTTATCCTGTTTTCAAAAATCGTTGCTGTCTACACTCGTATTGTGAAGCGGTCAAAAAGAAATGTTTTCGGTTTCATAAAATAACCTGTAAGCAAATATGAACATACTATTTCGTATCAATACATGGGATTTTTCAAGTTTTGTATGTGAACAAGTTCTAAGGTGATTGGTTTTGCATGATGATTATCACTCTTTGAATTATAGGCCTTTATTCGAGCGTGCGTTGGTTAATCTTTAAAGCATAGACTAGGTATTTTGTGTGTTTGAACAGAAAGCCGTAAAATTGCAATCGACATGAAATGACTTACTACTTAGGACTTTGATACGCCTGTCAGAAAAAAACATGGTTGCCTGATAAGCAACTGAAGAGGCACATATCGAGCTGAACTGGATATAGATTATTTTGTATGGGCCTGATTTCAGTTTTATATCTACCTATTCACTGGTTGATATTATGCGTCAGTAGACCCTCATCTTGTCTTTTAATTGGTTCTTGTTTTTCGGATGATTGAATATGTCACTTAACGAAGTATCGTAATCTACTAGTACGCAAAATGGGATTGACAAAATTCTTACTTTACGTCATAACATACTTATCCGGTGCGGAAACATTGATGCAATTTGAGAGAACGCTTATTTGTTGACGGAAGTACCATTATGGACTGGATAAAAAGAGGAAGTAATCGGACTACTTCACAGATAGGCGGTTTGGGATTGAAAATGCAGGCGAAATCTATTACTTGTTATAGGTAATCTTCCTCGAAACTTTGTATTAATATCTCTAAAAGTAATCGGTATTCCAGGTCAGAATTTAGTTTCTTTAGGCATTTCGAGATTATTTTCAAGTCACAATGCAATATTAATCCACAAAGCTTCTATTAATAAACTAGTATCGTTCCTTGCCAAATAACCACTAAGATCATGAGACATTGATATTTTAACTCAACTATCACTTTGGCACAATGTCATTGCCCTTGCCTACCCCTCGTAGTAGAAAGTTATGGTTCTCAAATGACTTGTTTTAATTAGCTTCAGTTTGATACGATATTTTTCAAAATTAGGACATCGATACAAGAATAAGTAACAAAGTCTCGTTTACTTTGCCTTCCTGAAAGGGTTTGTTATTGGACAGTTTTTAGTAAGGCGGTATAACTGATATCTAGAATTGTTAATTTAATGTATTGAAAGCTACTGAACCTTCATATGAGCAACAGTTTCTCAAATTCTGCTTTTTGTATTGAGGACAGAAGGCCGACGGAATGTGACAGTCCTTTACAAGTAAGCTTCTGAGTGCTTAGCTTCTCATGCGTGAGTCAACTGATGTTCCGAAAATTGATGGTTTGATGTAAAAGCCAGTATACTCTGGGTATTGTTTTCCTTTCCTATTGTTGTGTCTGGTCTGTCAGCCCAATAAAATGCATGCCTTAACACTAGGCTAACGGGTTAGACATTGACGCTATAAATGCCTGTATCTGAATTGAAACTAACAATCTTATGGAGAAATCCAAAAGCTGTTCTGTCATCTGAATGGTTGGCAAGAGAGAGAAAAGATGAGTCAACTAGACTTGTTGCCGATTCAGATAAGCGTGGAAACATATGTGGATAAACAGGTGACTAGCGTGACCACAAACAACTATAAAATTACAATCATGTCCTGAATAAGCATTAGGGTAAGAAAGCCTAGTGTCGTGATTTCAGGGATTCAAAGTCCAATACTGATACGCGTTATGCTACGCCGTAACCCACCAACTGATTACTTAGGCGAGAACACAAGAGTGAGAAAGTATCTTGGGCTACTAAATAAAATGCACAAATATTGGTTTATGTATATACCACCTTAATCCTTGGGAAGTTGATCAATTTCTTAACCATTGTAACGCATTTTTCTTCAGGTCACTTTTGATTATCAGCGACTGGCTTCTGATTGGCTCTTATTATCCTGGACTATAGAATGTTGCATTTAAATTGAAATGGCTTCGCTATAGAAAAGGTTTAGCCAATGAATCATGCATCAAACGAAAGCTTGCGTTATATTGGGCCATCAGGGACGAATCTTAATATTACTAGTTTCCAGACTTTAAATTAAAAAAATAATGTCCCTAGAAATAGCTTCTGTTGTTCGACATCCCTTATTTATTTCTCTGTTTACGTTGTGACCATGGTGCTCTCCTATGTCCTCTGAACTGTCTTGATCTGGTAAGAAAAAAAGGGAGAATATATAGGGTTCAAACCAATTTAACTTTACCTGTGTTAGAGCTGAGTAAAGTGTTCTAGCTTTTCAGGCCGCTTCGTGTGTGGTAAACTCCCGAGGTAGCACGTAACTCTTGATTTCATTGTTCATGGATCGACAAGGAGAATTGAATGCTGCTAAGGCACAGGAAACACTTCTGGGATTTATCTTTGCCAACGAGCAACGAATCATTTAAGTGAAACTGGTGGAATATCGGGAATATATGTTTGCATACCATAGCTAGAACCCACGCCACTTACGAAAGGCATACATATAAGCTCAAAACGATTATTTTTGAGCAATCAACCACAAACAAAGCGAAGTGATGGAATCCCACAATTTGTTGCACAACATCTTAGATATACTTTCTGAGTCAGGTTGACAAGAACAAGAATTTATCAAACTGCTCCAGCGAAGTCTCTTTTACGAGTATTGTTGACAGGACTCCTCGTTAACACACACGGAAATACCAGTCACAGGAAATTTACATGTGATCAAGAAGACATCTCTTCAAATGTTCATTAACCTCGGAATTAATGATTCACCGAATACCGATGAGTTACATCCCAGATTGCGGTCTTCGTTTGATGAACATCATCTCGTGGGCTACTCATTATGCTGTTTAACATGTCTCTTTCCCGAAAGTAACTCCATAGGGACTGAAAAGGCAAGCGAAAACGATAACTTTAGCCTCAACCAAACTACTTTTTGACTCTCACTAAATTTGTAGTGTGATGAAACAATAAAATGAGAGGAACAGAAGACAAACTCCTTCATGGAACGACAAAGTTGAATCTTACGAGCAGAACCATGAGGCTTCAAAGACGCATATAAGACTACTTCATGTGAACAATGTGAATCCTTAGACTCCATTCTTATCTAGTTTTAGTGGTTCACGACATCGTGGTCCCATTTTATTTTTATTAGGTAGAAAATGTAACAAAAGATCATATTTTTAGAGGTTTCTGTTAAGTCCGAAGGCATGAAGCTTTATTGTTTTGAGGATAAACCTCGGTGATTAGGTGTGGCTAGATTTGTACATCATTTGAAAACATTGATCATGACAGTAAAATCACAAACTTGGTTGGTACACAATAAGTAACCACCCCAATGTTTCCTGTTGAGCTATTTGTTCATGAGAGTCATATGTATCTTTCCTGGCATTCGTTACCGCCACCATTTTCACTGTATTTGATAAGGTTATTTCATATAATAGCCGCATCATTCTGTCATATTCTATCCATATTAACATATGACATCTGACAGCGATTCATTCCACTCACACTGCAGCTGAAACAACGATTTTTTTCTAATTAGATATCGAATGGAACTTGCCGTTAAGATCTATTGGAGGTGGGCCTGTAGTGGCATTGGACTATAACCACACAATCCTCAAAGCTGAATACGAGATTACTCGGAAAATAGATATTCAATATTTAACGCGAAGAAATACCTAACGATGGAGAAGGCGCGAACAATGAATTGAATAAATTAGAGTTGATCGAACGGCATAGCTCGGCCATGCAGGCGTGGTCTCTGCTGAATGTTGCCTTATATCTTCTATTCATATTAAATATATTGTTCTTTCTCTAGCCTAACCTTGTTCTACATCATGTATTGGTAATTGATAAGATACAGTGAGTTGGTGTAGTCGATGGTGTGACTTCCACGTAACATCTTATAGATTAGGCAGTTATATCATGACAAATCTACAAATTTAAGATTAGGTCTATTATTAGAGCAGTACTAATATCATAGTAGATCATAATTCTACATGCCTTCAAATTTCCCGGTACGACCAGGGGTGGTGTGAGTATTCCTTCCCTCTTGAAACGCTCTAATCT